TTTTTTTAAGTTTCTAAATATTTGGGGCTTCTCTAGATATCTTAGTTTTATTGATTTTGAATTTAATTCTTTTCATATAAGAAAACATTTCCTTTAAGATTTCATTCTTTTAATATTTATCAAGGTTTTTTAGTGGCCCAAAATATAGCCTATCTTGGGGAATGTTCTGTGTACACTTGAAAAGATGGTACATTCTGCAGCAGTGGCGTGTACTGTTCTTTAATCATCAGCTAAGGTCCTGCAGGAGATAGTTTCATTTACATCTTTTTATGGGCTGATTGTTTCATCAATTATGGAAAATGTCTGTTAAAATCAACAAATAATTGTGAATTTGTCTATTTCTCCCTTTAGTTGTATAAGTTTTTGTTTCATATATTTTATTTGTTTTCCTGTTATTAGGCACAGATACATTTATGATTGTGATATCTTTTATTATTATTAAATATCTTGGTCTCTGGACCAATTATTGTCCTAAAGTCTCTTTGTCTGATATTAAAATAGCTAGTCTAGCTTTTTTGTACTCCTTTTTCTTTGCATATCTAAGAAATATTGATTGAAAACTGGACACTGTAGATAATATATTGTAGCAACTCTGAATTCTGTTATTTTCTTCTGAGGACTGTTAGGTTTTTGTTCTAGTAGGCAGTTCATTTGCTTGGACTTAAATTTCAAATTTTAACCTGTGTTATCTCCTGCAGTGGCTGGTATCTCTGCTGATATTTCTCCTTTCCACCCACTCCCCTAGCTTCAGCTTTTTTAGACTGGCCCCCTGAGTGTCTTTCCTGTGCTTGAGTAGATTAATGATCAACCAAAGATTTAGGCAGAAATTACACTCAGGTTTCAGGCTCATCTTCTCTGTGTTTCCTTGCTTCTGGAGTTACAATAAATTTCAAACTGCTGTTCCAGTTCCAAGCTCTGTCCTCTGATACCTCAAAAAAGTAAGTCTTCTGCTTTGAGCTGCTTGAGCTGGGCACACTCAGTCAAGAAAAAAACCCCACCAAACTTATAAATCTCACTCAGTGCNCGGGAGCGCCGCTGCGCTTCCCAAGCGGCACACTGTAGCAGTGCGCCACCGGGCCGGCCCGACTCTCTTCTGATTTCTGTTTGCTTTGTGGGGGCCTGTTGTTGTTGGCATCCCTGGGGTGTTACCTAGGGGTGAGAAGTTTGGCAGCCAGCCAGTGATTTGGGCACAGTTTATACTCTGATGGTGGGTCTCAGTCTTTCTGCTGCTCTCTTCTAGCATTTTCCCCTGATTTTCTAGGTGTCTGCTAGCACTGAACTGTGTTCTGTGCCACCTTGTACTGTGGTTTTCTGCTTCAGGAGATGTGGAAATTGAAGAATACCATCAGGCAAAAAAAGCCACAACTTATCAAAAATAAACTCTCCTTCAATCTGCTTTAGATTGCTTTTTTAGTGCCTATTTATATTTTGTCTGGATTTCATAAAAGTCATATGCAGAAGAGTTTGACCTACCAATTCACTCTGTCATTACTGGAAGCTGGAACTTTAATTAGTTAGGGATTTTATAACCACTCTATTTTACTCGGTATGTCACGTAGGCAAAAGGATATGCATACAGATAATGATCTTAGATAGTTTAGCAGCTGATAAAATTACCCATTGGTAATCAACTTTTTGAATTTGTTTTCTTTCTTCTTTCCTCTACAAACTTAAACATCTTTTCAATTATAATTTTTAA